CTCCCTGTTTACAACTCCCCTCCTCCCTGTCCTTTATTTTGGTTTGAGTTTTCCCGTCAGGGGTGGGGGGGGGGTGGGGGGGGGGGGGGCTTAGAAGGAGTGCTTTTCTGTGCTGGCCCCCACTTTATGGAGTAGGCTGACACCAACTCTGGTGACCTTTCAAAAAGCAGACTTACCAAGACAGAATGATTTATTATTGTTTATTTTAATTTTTTAAGCTGAGTTTGTATTGTGGCTTTCAGACTTTGTTCTTATTACATTTTGATGACTTAAACTGCCCAGCTAGTCCTGCAAACTGGGTGGTACATAAATGAAATAAATAAATTGATAATAAGACAAAATATTATCAAAATATTGTTTTATGCAGGTCCCCCATCGTTACTTTCAGCCCTTTGGATTTGGACCCCGTGGCTGCGTTGGGAAGTTTATTGCCATGGTCATGATGAAAGCCATTCTGGTGACCCTTTTGAGAAGGTGCAGCATCCGTACTCTAAAAGGAAAAGGTCTTAGCAACATTCAGAAAAACAATGACTTGTCTTTGCATCCGAACGAAAGACAGCCGTTGTTGGAGATGATTTTCACACCAAGAGATAACATGGGCAAGAATGATCAGGATAAGTAAAACATGATCAGAACCCTGATTGCTAAGACGATCCTAGTCAAAATGATTGGTTGGACGAATCAAATTCAAAACCCTCATCCATCCCAAGTTCATCTCTCCACTCACTTGATGAAACCTTTTGTGGTCTCAAAGATTGCTAATTCAAGCGGCCAATTGGTAGAACTCAGGTTCAAGACAGAGGATAAGATTTGTACTAATACAAAAAAACCCATTGTTATGCTCATGAGGAACCATAAACACCTTTAGAAATCATTCTGTACATATGGAATTGTGTGACAGGTATTTTATTCTGGAAGAAGCCATGAAGAACCCTACATTTCTGCATATCTACAGAGATGAATTGGGCCATGGAGCAGCAGGAGCTGATTGCTACTGTTGCTATTCTTTCGTGCTGGTGTCCATTAGGAAGTAGAAATGAAGTTTCTGAAGTGGAATGATACTAGTTATTCAGAGCAATGGAACCATATAACTTTACCGCAGTATCTATCAAGAAGATGCAGTAAGTGTCTTTGGTCTCTGCCAAGTCCTCCTGAGTCAATGTATGGTACAGCAAAACAGAAAAAGCAAAACTGGTTGTCTTTGTGTCTTCTGATCATAAATGGAGCATATGTAGGTTTCCTGATTTCAAAAATAAATTCCCTCCTTTTCACTTTTTAAGCTCATTCACACCACCATTTTACAAAGGTGGGAACTTGAACCAGGTGAATAAGAACTGGTGTCTCCTGGTAGCCAGTAGCTAGTTTTTTCCAACCTTCAGACTCTCTCTCTCTCTCATTTTTAGCAGCTGTCCAGCCTCCATCCTACTGCCCAACACAAAAATGGAGCAGCTTATGGGTGCGCACTGAAACAAAAGCTCGGGATATCCTCTGTTGTCGTTAGTTGCAGAACTGCTGATTTGCATCACCACATCTGAGCTGAGCATGTTGTGTGAACACAGGTCATTGCACCAGATGAACCCAGAGACAATAATTGACCAAACCTTGAGGAAGCATCAAATGCAAACATAGGAAATGAGTTATCCGTATCAGCTGCCCTTGATCTAGAAAGCTTATAAAATTGCATTACACAAATGCATTAAGCATTTGTGTACAAGTTGCATTCAGCAATGGTTCATCTTAATCATCTTGTTGAAAAAAATAGTCATATCGTTCACACATAATGCTAAGCCATAGATCATGATCTGGAAACCACAATGGTTGGGTTCACATATCATGCTGAACCAAAACTAACCCAAACTTGTCATAGCTTAGCACAATGTGAGAACCTGTTCTGACTTTTGACCCTTAGGTCCCCATGATGCCCCAGTTGTTTGTGGCTGAACTCTGACATATTTCTGAAATATTCAACCCTACTGAATTTTGGCTACTGTTCTGTCAAAACTGTGAGAACCTTGAGTTCACCACTGATTATAAAGAAACTTATAATAAATACCTCATCACTGATCAGAGCTAGATTTACACTGGCTCAGTCCCATTTCTTGCCATTTTGGAATGTTTACATGAACTAGTAGTGTGTCTTAAGTTGGTTGGATCCACGTATCATGCTAAGCACTAAGGTGGTTCTTCTGGTCATTGCTATGAGTGAGTCTACTGTGATTGTAAACCTTGATATATGGTCTAGTGATGTGATGGAATAGTATGGCGAAGGCCGCGCTCGGGGAGATAAGCATTTCCTTAGCCCCCAGAATGAGCGTGGGAAGTTGAAGAGGATGAGGCTGGCACCACCCTAAGGAATTCGCAGTGTTGGCTGGCTGGCTTGGGAAGTTTAGATTCAGTCTGGTGAGATTGATGTCAGGTTCAGCCCAAAGAACTCCACGAGACAGTACAGTTACAGTTCTATTACATTTATTAGCTTCTACCTACAAGACAGAATTTCACCAGACTGAATCTAAACTTCCCAAGCCAGCAAGCAAACACTGCGAATTCCTTAGGGTGGTGCCAGCCTCATCCTCTTCTCCTTCCCACGCTCATTCTGGGGGCTAAGGAAATGCTTATCTCCCTGAGCGCGGCCTTCGCCATACCATTCCATCACAAGTGATGAACCATACATTATAGTTGAAAATGGCCACTGAGGGATGACTTACTGTCTCCTTTTTGAATTTTGGCTTTGGGTTTAAACTATGTAGCAATGACTGGAGATCTTGATAGAGTGACACAATGAGTAAAGATCTTGAGCGCTGGAAAAACAATAGGATTTTGGAACATATTGGACTCTTCAAATATCTGACTAGGTGCTATGGATGTTTTAAGAAGAATTTAAGCAATACTCTTCATTGAGCAGGGAATTAGCTGTTATCAGCTTGGAGCCCTTGGGTATAGACTTCCATTCCCCAAATTCCCCAGGCACTATGGCCACATCTGTGAATTCTGGGAAGTTGGTTTACACATCTGGAAAGAACCCAGGCAGGGAAGGTTGTATTAGATTATCTCCATGATTTCTTCCAGCTAATATGATTTGAGGAATCCTTGAAAGCCACACAACTAATTAACAGCACTATCACCAGGCATAAGTGGTCATAATGAATATAAAAAATGATGTGCCTGTATTAGATCAAGTTCTCTCTAGTCAAGCACTCTCATCCATGCTGTTTGACTCCAGCATCTGATACTCAAAATCTGGGGTCCCAAACTCAATGTCCTCCAATTGTTGAAGCAACAATTCTCAGAATGTCCATCTCAGGACAGTCAGTGGTTCTTTGCACTATTATGCTACAGCAAGGGTAAGGGAGTTGTAGGTCCCCAGGTGCTCCTCAACCACTTGTTCTAGCAACTCTGGCCTGCATGACGGTTGGTGAGGAACTACAAAGCTGAGCTACAGTCCAGCAAAATCTAGCAGGCTGCAGGTCCCCTTCTACAACCTATAGCCAATTAGGGAGCCTAAAAGTTTTTTAAAAGTTGAGGAAGGCAGGGAAGATTAATATTAGCTTGAACTCCAAAGGGGGTCTCAAGTCTACTGAAAAGAAGCAATATATGAATGTTATTGTAGAAAGAATCACAAGCTCATCATTCAGGACTTGGGCTCTTTACTTCCAACTTGAACTTTGCTTTCTCTCTGACTCCTCTCTCCCCTCTCTTCTTTTTCTCTGACTACATATTGGCACTCAGTTTGCTTCTTCCTCCACTGAAAAGCTCTGTCATCAAAGTGCACCAATCAGGAACGGGTACTGTAGGTGGTGAATCATGGACTGACTCTTTCCCCAGCGGGGCAATTCAATCAGGAGTTCCTATTTCCTTTAGTATCACTTCTCTCTTCCTTGCAGCCATTGCATACTCCATTTGGACATGAACAGGAAACATTCCGTCTGAAATGAAAACATGGGTCTGTCAGCCTGTATATTTATTTCAAACAACTGCTGCTACGGTCATCTGGGATTCAGTCTGATGCGTTATTTCTGATGCTCGTCAATATCCTCCAACTCTCCAGGCACCGATATCTGTCTAAACCTTTTCTCCGTTATTTTTTTGCATGGCTGCTTGGGTATGATCAATTCATGTGAATAGCTTACTAACCTTCTGAATGACCAACCTTGTGCAGAAACCACATCCTGCAGATAAAACGCCAATAGATGGCATCTGATGAAGTTATTTTTAAAATGTACTAAAAGGACTGATCTCCATCTCTTGCAACTGACTTCTATTCTAAGATGAACTGTCTCCAGCTCAAGTGAGCATGTGCTTCCTTGACAATTGGTCCATTTCTGGACACAACTGGAAGGCCTTATCTGGCTCAGGACTAGGTTATCCAGAATGCTGTATTGTCCCAAATGAGCATGATGAATTTAAGACCTTCAGAAGAAGCCCTTCTTTCTTCCTTTCCAGCATCTGAACTTCAAACAACTTGAGACAGGGCCTCTCAGTTTTTTGGAACTCCTTGTTAATTAAGCTTCTTCTTTGATGACCCAGATCTGAAGCTTTCGTCCAGACGTTTGGCCACATGAAATGACTGATTAAGGCTACTGTAAATACACTGCCGTATGTTTGATTGGTGGGTTGTTTTTAACTGTCCTATCAAGTTAACTAACTCTGGATGCTTTTGGCTGTGTTTTTGTACTTTGCTTTGTATTTTACTGCTGTCAGCCTCCTAGGGCACTGCTTGGTGGGAACCCGGGGCGCACATTTATATTTGAAAAAGCAAAGTGGATGGATGGATAAATAAATAAATAAATAGGTCACGGGAAACACACTTGTTTCTATAGCTTTATAAATACTGCAAACAAGCAAAACCAAGATGTTTGGGTTACTCAGCGGTCGCTCAATGGCACGGAGGAAACATTTGCTGAAAAAGGATGCTGAATATCTACCAGCAGAGGGCACTCATGGCCTCCATTTGGGAGAGTGTCTAGGGCTGAGAAGCAACACCAGAACTAAATGTTAGGATAGCATAAGAGGGCATACAGAAGAGAATTCCTGGTACACAGAAGACAATAACAATTTGACCATCATGAGGCTGGAGACCACTGTCTCCAGGCACAGAAGGTCTGGTGAACACAGTCTGACCACCAAAGACCACATCCCATATGCCACTAGAAGGCAGGTACCACATGATGGACCATTGCACTGTTTGTGGCCTACTATCAGCATATCTCCCCCCGCCCCCCCCCAAAATACAAGGCTCCTGTAGGCATAAATGCGCCTCAGCAGAAGACCACAAGCTGGCTGCACACAAATCTCCCTAAGGCAGTGTTGTCCAAACTTGGCCACTTTAAGATGAGTGGACTTCAACTCCCAGAATG